TCGATTCCCAATCCCTGCTGCAACAAGCTTATCCAATAGCATAGAACTAACTTCCTGCAAATTTTAAAATAAACAAGTATTTGAACTGATGTAACTAGGAAACAGAGAAGCCGGCAGTAGGCAAGTTGAAGGAAAGCAGAGGTAAAGAGATGAGAGAAACTGCCTACTGCAATCACGTTCAGGGATGAAATGGAGAAATTAAGAATTTTAAGGATTTGATTGTAGAGATGTGAGTATATAATTTTAGAGAAGTTAGCAGCGGAAGTAGTGCAAAGAAAGGTTAAGGATAAATACATTTAATTTTTCTTGATGCAAAAAGTGAAGAAAACACTGCAATGACTAAATGGATAAACTTGATTAAGGTTGTGGAAAATCAGAAAGTGTTTAGAGCTGTGTCATACATGCCTGTAATGCGCAAGCCAGAAAGATGAAAAACAACAAATGAATAATGAAGAAACTAAAAGATGTAGAAGAAAAGAAACTTGCTCACAACCCCTCCACTCAAATCACAGTAAAATTGTTTAGATCTTCATCCACAAAATTCAGTCTTACATTAGTAAGAATTCATTTAAGCACGGGTTAAACAGAGGAGACAAAAAAAATTTAAAACTGCAAAATCCTTAGTATGATGAATAGATTTATTCTTTTAAAATGGTAGTATTATTGATCATACAATCATGTAGCACTGTTTCAGACTCATGCAGAAAGCAGAAGATGTAGAAATCACAACTTGCAAGTCAGCGTATGATAATGCAAATCCACAATGACTACAGCATTTAAAAAAAAAAGAAGATAATTTTCTTTAACCCTTAACAAGGTTCATAGAGGAGAAGACCACAATATCGGCTTTTACTAATCCAAGTATCAGAAACTTCCCAGATGACTAACAAGTCAAGCTAATGGTAAAGAAGTAAAATCTGACACTGTTTCTAGACAATAAATAATGCAGTGTGGAAAATATTATAACCTGAAGAGGCAAGCTAGCTCCAGACCACTGTGTGAGATTAGTCTGCATAAAGCATTTACCTTAGAGTTAGATGGAGGCAAAGAGGATCACCCATGAGGCAAGCCCTAGAAAAGATGTTAGAATAAACAGCAAGAATGAATGCAAAATTCATAAGCTAAACATCTCATCTTACTAAGGCAAACATGTCCTAACTTTACCAAGACAAACCTTGTATTTTAGGGTAAACATCCGAGCCTCGGGAAAATCACTGGAAAGCCATTCACCAGGCCAAAAGGTTCCAAGCTTTCCAGCTTCCTCATCAATCTTCTCCACCAAAGGTGATGAAGTTGAGGATTTTTCCTCAGCTATCCGCCAAGTTTTGTAAGGCCCACCACGGAGTCCGTGGACAAAAACTATGTCTAGTAGAGGACAATTTTCATCTGGGTTGCTTTTAGTTGAATCATAAGAAATAGAGCAGTTGCTGTCATTCCAGGATTCTGTTCCATCCTCGGTATCAGCATAAGTAACCAGAGATATCTCCTCTGAGAAAGCTTCTTGTTTATCTGTTTCTTTGGGATATTTCCAGTGAGGAAGATGAGAATTTATCAAGAATATCATGTCATCATACCGAGGACATAAGTTCCTATAATTTTTTACACCACCATCAGAAAGGCCTCCACTTCCACTTTCAGACTTTCCATTAGGCTGGTCATTGCAAGACATATTTAAAAGTGCTGCCCTGGCATAGCTTTGCATTTTAAGGTCACTGCAACCTGGAATCCTCCCATTAGCACAATCATCAAGCCATTTGCACCAAGTTTCATCAGCTGTGATGACCTTCTTGACTTTGGGAAGCAGTGAGAGGATGGTCAACAACCGAGCTGCATGCTTGCGGATATGAGCGGTAGGTGGAACACGGACACTAGCTGGATCATTTACATCTGATATAGCTGGTTCCCTGTCTTCATTTGATATCTGCTCCTTCCTCTCATGTGCTCTAGATGATGCATCATAAGCCTCAATAGCAGCCAATTTCTCATAATCATCACTCAACAAGAAGCGCCTCAGCAAACATAAAATCCCAAAATCAACTATCATGTCCTGACACAGAGAGTCTTCGGCACAAACTTCAGTCAGAGCTTTAATTCCTTTTAGGGTTGCCACGGCAGAATCTGCAGCATCTAATTTAGGCAGATTATCTTTTTTTAAATTTTTAAATGGTCCTGCTAAAGGTCCCAGAGACAGAAAATCAGCCAGTGGGTTTGTATCCCCAGTACTAGATGTAATTCCCAATTGTTTAGCTGCCAGATTAACAACAGCACTAGATAGTTGATTCGCAACTTGTGCAGCATTAGCAATATTTGCATTATTGATTAACGTCTGCAAAAGTTGACACAGCTAAAATGTGCATCAAAAGTTGACTTGGATTGAAGTAGCACAAACAGATAAAATGGAAGGCCATTCAGAGAGAAAGACAAAGAAATATATTTACATACCTTTACATTATCACTCTTAGGTTGACTGGTTCTTTTATCATTTGATTTCTTGATGGAACTATGTACTTCAGATAGCATCATGGCTAACCATCCTTGAGAAAGTGGTACAGATGTTGGTCCATAGTCTTCCAAGATCTGAGAAAGAATCTTTATGGCTGAAGATCGTATAGTATCAGAGGAAAATGTTCCAAAAACCCAAGGAAGAAGAATTCCTGACCATTTTTGACTCTCTTCAAGAGACAAATGCAGCTCACCAGTACAAAGTAGCTCTAATGCCTTTGCCATTGCTTCTTGCACTTGCTTATGCTTTGTCATCTGCTTGGCAATGTCTCTCATTGGATTAAGACCCTCCTCCATCACTATCTTCTGCACTCCAGGGCTCCTCTCAACAGATAAGAGAAAGGCAGAGAAAGCTACCTGAGCCAAAGAAACATCTTCATGCTTGCATGCCTGAGATATAGTAGAAAGAAGACTGGAAGCCCAATCAGAAACGGATTCATTCAAAGGTGTATTCCGATCTTCTAATAGCAACCACACCACCAAACTTGCATGCCATTTTACAGATCTCTCAGGTGCCATTAAAGCAGACATGACAGCATTTCCATCTCGATCCAGTTCTTGAATATGAGATCTATTCAACTGTGATGCCGTTGCCCAATTTGCCAATGCCCAGGTGGCAAAAGGAACAGCAACATGTTCACAGTGTAAATCGTCCCATAGGCCAGGAACAACAGCAGAAGACATACTCTTTTGTTCCAGCGAATTGTCATACTTATTTTGATATATGAGAGTTTTAGGAGTTTGATGCTTCAGTTCTTCATGACAAGCATCACTGTTGGTCCTTGAAAGCCCTAAAACTGGGGTACCTTCAAGTATCTTGATTCCAATACCTCTCCCTCTTGTTCCACCATCATCATCTCCACCATCGGGTGGCTCATCCAAATGCAAACCCCCTTCCTCGATAACTTGTAGGGCTGCAGCAATGTCTCTGGTTTCAGCATTTCCAGGCAATGATGGCTTAAAAGATACCTCTTCTGCATTGTCACAGCTGGACGTAACGATATCCATGATGGAAGCCACAAGCATGCTCCTGCCTTTCAAAGAATCAGAAATATCAAATGCACTACGTCTTGAGTGCTGCTGCCACAAAAATTTGCATGATGTCACCAATGTCAAAATCAGAAAAAGACACTATCATCAACATCTTGAGTGAAGCTTGTATGTGTATAATAGATCTATAGTAGCCTTAGTACTAGGAAAACAATAATTATACTCACTCGCTTTCTCTTCCTTCCCATTCTTCACTCAATTTTTTTTACTCATCTCTCTTCCTTCCCTATCATACCACTTATCAATTATCACATCCTATCATATCACTTATAAATTATCACATCCATCACTTTCTCTTCATTTCCTTTTTCCTCCTATCTCTCTATTCCTTCCATCTCCATAAACTCCAAAATGGGCTGTATGTTGATCACTACTCCCAAGAAAATACATGTTAAAAATAAAAATAAAAAAATGATCAGATTTTGGCATGCATCATTAGAAAAAAGAACACACACAACAACTACCACCACATTATGTTAAGCCGGGAGATATGACAAATACAAAAGGACAGTTATACACCTTTATTCTAGGTAGCCATAGCATGAAAACTAGATTAAAACACAACTACTAAGATCATAATTTCTGAGTCAGCAAACAAAATGTCCTCAAGGAATAAACAAATTAAATGCATTTAATGAGAAGTACAACATTTGATGTATTCGGAATCTGAACTAGATTTACTTTCCATTTGATAGTTTCCATTTTGTTTAGCATTACTGTATTCTTTTTTATTATTACTAATAGGAATTGCAATAACACCAATAAAGTTCAAACTTAAAACTTAGGACTTGTGAATACTATCTCAACCCGTATTTAATGAGAAATACAACATTTAATGTATTCAGAACCTAAAATAGTTTCACTTTATTATTAGTAGGAATTCCAATAACGACAACAAATTTCAAATTTAAGAACCTATATATACTATCTCAATCTCCTACTACCTGAGTGATTCCTTAGCATTCCTTTATAATCCATCATCGCAGTTATAAGATGAAACCCTATTTACGATACAAGAAGCTCTCGAATCAAGTAACACACTGGGGTTAAAGTTCAATTGATAGCTCCGTTTGCAAATGCCAATACAGCACTAAAACGACCTCAACAATTCCCAAAGAAAAAAGCAATACAGAGAATCAGTTACCTTCTTATTCTTTGAACGCCGAGGCTGGCACGAGAAGATGAACCTCAGAAGATTCGGCACCGCGTGAGGCCGACCAAGCACCGCCGCGGACACGTTAGGGTCCGCAATCAGATACGCCAGCGCCCTCGCCGACTCCGCCTGAGTGCCGCCGCCGTCCTTCGCCACCGCCACGGGCCCCAGCAGCCAGTCCACCACAGCGC